TTTTTTTTAAACACACACACACATGCATATATGGTATATCAGTCTGGCAAGTAAACTAAAAAATTTACTAGCCAATAGCAATTCAATTGCCAAGGTGTCCGTAGAGGGTTGCACAGTGATATTTAAATGCTTGAGACGTGCTCATAAGTCATCAGTTGCAAATGGATGTGCTTTTGGCCACCTCTGCTCTGATATTGACTGAAAATGTGGGGGAAAGTGAAAAGGGTATTTGGAGCTCAGATGTTGAACATTAAGCAGCATTCATTTGAAGAGCTGCTTCAGCACTTACTTGAAGTAATATGACGCTTGTGTAAATCTAAACCATTCACACTAGGATGGATTTATGTCTTTTTAGTTTTTTGCTTTTTGTTTGACATCTGTAAGTAGATATTAAAATAGCTTTCTAATTGCATAAATCTGTGCTAGGCTATAATAAATATCCTTTATGTTGACTTGGATTACTGATCAAAAGATTTTTAAAAATGTTTTTGAAAGAAGTTTCTAATGCTCATCAGGGCCTCATTTATTTGAACAAGAATACAGTAAAACAGTAATATAGGGAACTTTTTATTACAATTTGAAATAACAGGTTTTTTTAAATATCATTTATTCCTGTGATGGAAAAGATTAATGTTCAGCAGCCGTCACTCCAGTCTTCAGTGTCACATGATCCTTCAGAAATCATTCCAATATGTTGATTTGCTGCTCCAGAAACATTTCTTAATATTAACAATGTTGAAAGCAGTTGTGCTGCTTAATATTTTTGTGAACCCAAAATGCTTGAAATGGCTGTAAAATATAAATCATTTGTAACATGAATGTCTTTACAGTCACTTTTGATGAGTTGAATGCATCCTTGCTGATTAAAAGTATGAGTTTCTTTTTTTAAAAGCTGATCTCAAACCTTTTGAATGGTAATATATCACAACATGGTCCTTTATGCTGACCTAGTATGTGTTCTCTAATTGAAGTCTATGCACATGATCATAAAGCTGTGCCTTTTTCATCAGTAATTATTGCCTTAAAATATAGACATGTTCAGAATGACATTGCATATTTATTATTTGTCTTTGCTAAGGTAAACATTACTATTGCTGCTGCATATACACCTAAAGTTGGGGGTTTTCATATCTTTGTCTTTTTGTTCATCTCTAGTTCCTTCGAGTGACGAAGCAGTACCTGCCCCACATAGCGCGTCTGTGTCTGATTAGCACGTTCTTGGAGGACGGCATTCGCATGTGGTTCCAGTGGAGTGAGCAGAAAGAATATATTGAGACGACTTGGGGATGTGGCTTCTTCCTGGCCACACTGTTTGTTTTAATCAACTTACTCGGACAGCTGGGTAAGAAGTTTGTTCAGAGGAATTATCTCTGGTGACTTGGAACATCTTCAGATTTGTATATGGAATGTTTCATCATCTGTTTTACAGGTGGTTGTATACTGATCCTGAGCAGGAATTTTGTGCAGTATGCCTGCTTTGGATTATTTGGACTCATCGCCTTACAGGTGTGAGCATTCTGTTTGTGTTCTTTAAGATTGTAATTGGATGTTATCTTTGGTTAGGACTATAATTAAGTGAAACTGTTTAATTCCAGTGCTGATCTTTATCTGTTCCAGACTGTTGCCTATAGCATTCTCTGGGACCCAAAGTTTTTGATGAGGTAAGTTCTTCGCAGGATAAGCTAGGAGTGAGTATATCATCCTGTGTTTTATGCTCTGATCTCTTGTGTTTCAGGAATTTGGCTCTGGGGGGAGGTCTGCTGCTGCTGCTTGCGGAGTCGCGCTCTGAGGGCAGGAGTATGTTTGCTGGGGTTCCCACTATGAGAGAGAGCTCTCCTAAACAGTACATGCAGCTGGGTGGCAGAGTCCTGCTAGTGCTTATGTTTATGACGCTGCTGCACTTTGATACAAGCTTCCTCTCGGTGAGCAAATATTCTCAGCATGGGAAATGGGTGAATCACAAAGAAATCTCTAGGTTAAATTTCACAAATCAAGAGGAAAAAAAAGAAATTATATTGTGCAGGTTTAAACATCTTTAGGATTACGTTTTTTTTTAGTTTTTTTGGGGGGTGACATCATTTTCATGACAATCTCTTCTGTAATGCTTGAAAATATTATTCTGATTACTATAATGCAGTCATGAAAATTGTCTGGGTAGCATTTGAGTTTTTTTTTAATTGACAGTCATTATTATTTTTAAATTAACTAGAAGATTTTTAATTAAGAAAAGATGATAGTAATAATAATAATAGTACGTGTGTATAATATTTAATAAAATAATATCTTTGTATGAAAGATTGTGTGAACATTTATTTTATGAAAATAAAAAAATAATGTAACAGTAATGAATGGCAATTATATATTACATGTTTTGAATTGTTCATATTAATTATATAATGATATTTGACATGATTTGTTTTCTATAATAAATTTGAAAATTATAAATTTATTTTTAAAAAGTTTATAAATGTTTTGTAATATTATAATATTGTAATATCTTTATATATCAATTTATTTAGCAGTCATTTTTGATCATTTTATGCATCATTGCTGAATGAATTTTATTCAGCATTCAATTTTATTTTAATATATGATATTTCTTTCCAAAAAAAAAAATCTAGCTGACCCCGTACTTTTAAATGGTAAACTGTGTATATTGTTTAAAAAATGAGTACTTTCTGCACTGATGCCTTCATCAGGACATCATCCTTAGGATCACAAACTAATCAAGGTCTTAATGTTAACATCGGCAGTTGCTTGTAAAAAAAAATATCTACTGAAATTGCAGGAAATGGCATTTAGAATATTACAATTTCTCAAAATCACCATTTTATGCAAATGTTTTGCTTATCTTTCAACACTTTTTAGAATCAAGCTTAGAACTGGATTTAAGACTTCAATCAGCCCTGTTTACATATGACTGAATGTGGAATCATTATCGTTTATAGTTGGCTTTTTCTGGCTTTATAAATGTGCTCATAAACCACATCTTATGACTTGGCAGAACGTTTAAAAGTTTTTAAAAAATGCACTAATTCCAAAATTTTGAATGAACTATATTTGGAAACTAAACCTTGATAATTTACCATATTGTTTAGCTGATGCATTGCAATTCACAGCTATAGTAATGATTATATTGCAATCATCCATTTCACCACTAGAGGTCAGACGTGACCAGGTTTTCTGTAGCCTACGTGATTTCTGTAGTGTTAAATTTAGTTGCCTGTGTCACAGTTTCACATTAGTCTGGTGTCTCTCTGACTTCCTTTTTCTAATGTGTCTGTGTTTGGTTTTAGATCTTGCAGAACCTGGTGGGTACAGCACTTATTGTTCTGGTAGCAATCGGTTTCAAGACTAAACTAGCCGCCCTAACCCTGGTCATCTGGCTGCTGGCGATCAACGTGTACTTCAACGCTTTCTGGACCATACCAGCCTACAAGCCCATGCACGACTTCCTCAAGTACGACTTCTTCCAGACCACGTCGGTGATCGGAGGCCTTCTGCTGGTAGTAGCACTAGGTCCAGGCGGAGTGTCCATGGATGAGAAGAAGAAAGAGTGGTGAGACAGGACTGAACTCAAACGGCTCACTCGCTCACTCAGTAGTTTGCCCTTTGGCAACAGCTTTCTCACAGAGCAGGTACACTACTTAGGGAGGAAAGAGCCAATTGAGACGTGGCCTCACAAACACCCCAGGACCAACAGAACGACCCGCTCTCCACATCATGCACTGTCTTGTGTGTTCATCTTGCGTGCTTACTGAATTATTTTCACCAGCACTTTTAGACATATTAGTTTATCATATTTATTTTCTAAGGTTCGGGTCAGATTCTGTTATTTGAGAACCTCATTGAAAATCTGAAGCATCCGTGTTATAAAAGCTGCAATCATGTTGAAAAAATAACAAATTTATCTCCTTTGACATCTTTCTCTGCCTTTTTATTTTGGTGCCAATTGCAAGTCAGCAAACCAAAGACACATCCTTCAGATATATATATATATATATATATATATAAATCTTTCTTCTTTTAAGTTTCGCAAAGAGAGATTCCTATTCGTGAATATTTTCTGCCATTTCAAAGTAGTTAAATGTATAGACAAAAAAGTTTAATGGCCATTATGAAGAGCGTTCCATTCCATTCTGAAGATTCATTAGCTTCTCATGTCTGTGTAAGAAGCTGTTAGTTTATTTGCGTGTTCGCTGTCTATCGTCAGGTCACTTTGAAGTTTACAAAAAGTGAATTATAGTGTTTCTCGAAACAAGCAGAGAGTGAGATGACAATATTGAAACCCTGTGGTTTGTCAGACTCGGTGTTTATCCTCTTTGTACAAAAAAATGACCGAAAAATAATGGTTTTCTAAGTGTTTTAAATATGTTTTGACATATAAAGGGAAAAGAAAAATGTCGTTGGTTGTTTAATTTTTTGTTTTTTATCTTTATTTTTATTTTTAGTAATCAATAATAAAACTAGTGATTTTCAAAAACCAATCCTTTTGGTCTACATGACATGAAAACAGATGAATGGTCTTTGAAGGCGGTTGTCTAAATATAAAAAGAAATAATGTTTGAGCTTTCATGTTCAAAACAGTGGTCATCATGTTAATGTTTCCCAAACCTTCACAACAAGCAGGAAGTCAAAAGACAATTTCCCCAAACATTCAACACACAAAATGTGAAGTGGTCAGATTTTTTGTAGGCCTAATCTTTACAGATTCATTAGCCAACATTGCATGCTACAAGAAAGCTTGACACATTAGTGTACTACACTTATAAATATATTTTGAAATAAATAGATTTTTTTTTTTTTTAAAGAAAATCCTTATGAAGTTATTTTTTGTAGCCTATCTGTCTGCAGATTCCTCCTTGAAAACCCCTCAAAAAGCAAAAATGTGACTCTGCGGAAAGTCTCCTCATGTGCATTATATTATCTTGTACGATAAGAGAACACATAAAATAGAAATATTTAAGGTTTTACTGTAGCAATAATTACATTAACTGCCGTTATCAGCGGAAGATCTAAAGCAATGTCATACGTTTGTGAGCAGTAGAGGGCGCTAAAGCCGTTTCTGGTTTATGAGACTTCATGGCGACCAGTTGCTTCAAGCCATTTTCTTACATGCGATATTTTAGTCTCATCATGTAGGCGTAATGATAGATTCAGTTACCCACTCAAGTCTTCAAATAAGCTATTGCTAATCTATTAAGGTAATTGTTGTTGTTTTTTCTTTACTGTTTCTGTTAACTACGTATTGGTTAGAACGCAACGTGCACAAATACATTAATCGATATTCATACTGAAATGGAAAGTTTATTTAATCCAATTATATCTGATATGATATTATCTTGTATTTATGTAAATCTAGAAAAACTGCTACTGACTGTATCAACATGTTCCTAGCATGTTTCTGCAATATTCACCCTTTGCTCAAGTGAATATAAAGTCTTATTTTAGGCTTATTTATAATGTCAGTTTGTGTTAAGATACTACTGGCATTTTTAATGTCCGTTTCTAGCTTAATGATTTGACTACCAAACAACTATTTAATATTTTCACTGTTATTAGCCACGACAAAATGAGACATGTAAAAAAAAAACTAACAGGCTAATAATGGATTAATATAAGTTATAGATTATTAATGACCAATTATAGGCTTATTTAGTAAAATCTAAAGAGTAAACAATTACGAAAAAATGTCAGTTGGTTTATTATTCATTATCAAATACAGTGATTATTACATTGTTTAATATAAGATACGTGACAACTTGCCCTGCTGTGACATTTATGATAAACACAGCTCACCTTATCTGAAATGCATTCATTAGATGACTGGATATACTGTGGTGTGGACCCTGTTTCATGCATGTCTGCACTTTTATTGTGTTCACATGCTATTACCAAAATACTATGATACTGGAACTTTAGCTTACAGGATTCCTAACTAAAACTTTAATTATTCTGATATAAAAGAGGGCTTTGAAACAACAACAAAGGAACTGCTATCAAGAAAACACATTTGTCTGGTTTGACTTAAAAATCTTAGTTAATGAGGTGTAACCTCTTCAACAACATGCCCTGCTCCCCCTGTAATGATTATTCTGTACCACTGCAGTACTTCTTTGCAAGAGTGCTGTTTTTAGTTGGCACCATTTGTTTTCCTTGATAAATCTTTGACTGTAAGAAATGTATCAATTTAGGTTTGATATTAAGACCAGGCCCTCTGGCAACACAACTGGCGGTCACTGCTTTCCCTTTATCTGTTTGTTTTCCTCCTCCTTGAGCTAAACTCACTTCCTCAGCCTTTAGCCAAGCAGCAACTGCTCTGTGAAGGAAACGTTATTTATAAACAAATACTGCCTCCTTTTCTGGCCGCAGTAGCATGAGTTTGAAAAGATGCTGTTGGTACAGCAAAGTTCAGCCGCAGGTCAATGGAGATACCACAGGTTTACCATACAAACCCTATTCACAAGCCTCTAGTTAAAGGTATAGGCAAGGAGATGGAAGAATCCAGCATTCCCGTTGGCATAGTGAAGGTCTCAATGCCTCTGCAGGAAATGTGGGAACGGTTAAAGATCAATGCAGCACTTTAAGAGAGTTAACCTCAGGCCACACTTTGAGTCCATCTCTGTGGGGTCAGCATTTTGAAGGATAAGGGTGACAAGGTCAGCCTTCAAGTCCCATCAAAAAGAGTTTCTTCTCTCCTTGGGTCTGTTCTCCTCCTTGGATAGTGGCAGGAATACACAGACAATGATTTGTCACCAGAAACGGCCCTGATCATTTCCAATTTCATGGGAGCCAGAGAAGAGGCCAGGATGGTCATCCACAGCTGGAAGTGTGTGTGTCCACTGTGGGCCGGACCATTGTTAGAGCCCCAGCCGCAGGCCACTGTGTGTGCGGGACGCTTTTACTCCGAGCACCCCGACAGCCAAATGTCACCATTAACCATGCGCTGCAAAATCGGAGGCATTCATGAGCGACGCTCCTCATAAGCCATAAAAAGGGTCATCGGTGAGGGTGGCTCAAGTTCAGCAAGTCAGATTCAATATTTCATGGGAGCCAGAGAAGAGGCCAGGATGGTCAGCCACAGCTGGAGGTGTGTGTGTCCACTGTGGGCCGGACCATTGTTAGAGCCCCAGCCGCAGGCCACTGTGTGTGCGAGACGCTTTTACTCCGAGCACCCCGACAGCCAAATGTCACCATTAACCATGCGCTGCAAAATCGGAGGCATTCATGAGCGACGCTCCTCATAAGCCATAAAAAGGGTCATCGGTGAGGGTGGCTCAAGTTCAGCAAGTCAGATTCAATGGTGTCATGCTTGTTCTGCTCTTTGATGTGACGTGTGTGGAAATGTGGCTTCTTTCTCACACTTGTTAGCACTGTCAATCATCCGACAGATCGTCTAGTTAAACAGTTGTCTGTTCTCAGTGCTGGCACTGTGAGATCGGTGATATTGTTGACAGATCATCAGATAATTTCATCAGTAGTTGATTTGTGATTGCGATCTGGTCTGAAATCAAAATGATCTTTCTGTTCTCTCATAGATGATTTTATCTCCTCTCTCTGAGACACAAAACGGCTCCCATTCTGGATGCTGATTGGTCAATACAGAGTTACATCTACAAATCACCTCTTCACCTGTACATCACGGTGTAATACCTAGAGACCAACTATTTACCTTAGCACTAGGTAGGTTGACAAGTCTGACTGTAGTGGAAAGATGATATTAATGTTAATCTGGAGTTTTATGACTTTTAGTCCATTTTAGTGAGCTTTGAGGTCAACTTTTTGGTAGTAAACTCTTAAATTTGTGATATCATGCATTAAAAATCATATCATATCAAATCATAGTTCATGGCTGTGCTTAAAACTAAAGAAATAGGAAATGTCAAAATTGGGAAAAGAAAAACAAAAAAACATTTTTGTCAAACCTTTTAGCCTTATCTCATAAGAATTCATAACTATTTGTATGTAACAATTAGCATAATTTTATATGCTAAAATTAAAGGGAGAGTTCACCCAAAAATTAATTATGAAATACTGTCTTCATTTGCTCACCCTCAAGTTGTTCCAAACCTCTATGAGATTCTTTCTTCTGTAAAACATAAAAGAAGATATTTTGAAAAATATGGGTAACCAGACAATTGATGGTCCCCACTGATTGACGTCCATGATAAAACAATACTGATCAACTGTTTGGTAATCCACTTTTTTTTTTTTAACTATCATCTTTTGTGTTCAGCAGAAAAAAGATACTCATACAGGTTTAGAACAACTTGAGGGTGAGTAAATGACGACAGAATATTTATTTTTGGATGAACTATCCCTTAGAGGTATTTAATGTAAAATATATACATATTTAATTATCCCCCATCCCTACTCTAAACCCTTTCGATTTAAAAACCATAATGGGCAGTTAAATGTACAGTGTAAATTCAGTTACAATACACTATTTTTTTTGGACAAGTTAAATACAGATGAGAAATTGCACAGAACAGAATAAAACTTTCAGTGTAAATGTGGGTAAGCGCATTAAATTAAAAGTGACCCAACTGAACGTGTTGTAATTGATTAAATACAACAAAACAGTGGTTCCAGCATCGCCGATCAAATACGCAGAGTATGCCGTTTGCATAGGACACAAACTCCTAGGAGAGATGATGCCCTCTATTTTCTCCATGTGCCCCCTACTATCTGCAGAATACTCAATTTATCGTGATAGCATACAATATTTAACATTAAATTAGCTGCATCATGCACTAGTGAAAATGAATGAAAATCTGAATTAAATTCGAGTCGTTAATATTTTTAGAAGGTAACTCGTAATTTTAAGGTAGCATAGTTACACGTTACATGTACTTACTATAGTAATTACAGTAAATCATGCATAAACACCCTAATCTTAACCCTATACTAAGTATGTATTATTTAACATTGCTCAATACTACTTTGTGTAATTAGACTGTAACAGCGCCATTTTAAAATATAGTGTAACCTCTTTCAATATAGTACATGTGGGATGTGTTATATTGTG